GATTCAAGTGAGGTGAATTGGCTGGGCTACTCTTGATTTCTAACAACACTTTCTCATTTCCTTTGTTCTCCTTAAAGGGGAAGAGAGAGGGGGTGGCTGGGTGGCTGAAGGAACTGGCCTTATGTGGAGCTGCAGGCTTAGGCTCGCCATTTAAGTACAGGCATCCTAGGAATAGTCTGGGATGGATTGATGTCACTCCCCACCCCAGGCCTCCCAGGGTTGGGTGGTTTTCCTTGTAGGAAATCCTGGTTCCCTTTTTTCCACCCTCGGTGACTTCGGGGTGATAGGCAGCGGAGTGAGCAGCTTCAGATGTTTCTTCAGCTCCTCTCGCTCGGAGCCTGCCCCATTTCCTTTCCTGAGCTGAGGTCGAGGGAGGAAGTCCTCCGATGGGGAAGTAGGGGGGTAGTTAAATATTGATGAAACTACTATCTTCTGCCTCGCAGCTTGAAGGAGCCTAACCTTTGATTTCTGCTCTCATGAACTTTGAACCCCTCCTGAGCCGGACACATCTGTGGGAGGGGTGGGGGTGCTCGGGTTACTACTTCTTTTTTTTTAAGATATATATCTTATTGATTTTTCACAGAGAGGAAGAGAGAGGGATAGAAAGTTAGAAACATCGATGAGAGAGAAACATCGATCAGCTGCCTCTTGCACACACCCCACTGGGGATGTGCCCGCAACCAAGGTCTATGCCCTTGACCGGAATCGAACCCGGGACCTTTCAGTCCGCAGGACTACGCTCTATCCACTGAGCCAAACCGGTTTCGGCATCGGGCTACTTCTTATCCTCCGGGACTTAGGACGTTCTGGAATGTGGGTTGTGCAGGCACCTCCCTCTGGCACAGGAAGCCCGGGACTCCCTGATGGTATCGCCTGCTGTTAGTGAGATTGTCTCTTAATTATTTTTCTTGTTGCTTTGTGTGAACACCCAGCCCTTGTGGGGAAGCCGGCTGGCTCCAGAGCTAAGGCTGGAGGAGTTGTGGGGTCCATCTTCCTTCCTGCTCTGGCCTTGGGGATTGACCTTTTATAATACAGCACCTTGTCAGTCTCCTTAAATAGGAGAACTTAAATAGAGGGCAACATAATACTTAAATGTCCTCTTTTTCCTTATCTGTGTTTGCTGTGATGGTGGTGGTAAAGATGTACATAACATAAAACTTACCTTTTTAACCACTTCAATTTATTTTTAGTTTATTTTTTTAATCCTCGCCTGAGGATCTGGTTTTCATTGATTTTAGAGAGAGGCAGGGAAAGAGAAACATCTGTTACCTCCCATATAGTTCACCTTACCTCCTAGCTTCCCTGGTATTTGGCCCTTCTTTTTGTGGTCTTAAAAAAATTAGGAATATCAGTGAGGGAGTCAGTGGGCTTTGAACAGAAGTTTCGATTCTGACTTTATTCCCACATTTCCAGTCTCTGGAGGGGGTGAGATGACTGACCATTGTGTGGCTCTCTCCTCTATGGGTCTGCGGGACTGAGCAAGAGGCTTTATCGCCTTCCTTTGGTTCGGGTTTGCTTTCCTGCTGATTACCTCACTTTCCCTTCAGACCGGAGCGCACTCATATCGGGGAGAGGCAAACAGCACTTTGCTCGGAGTGCCGGCTTAGACTCCACCTTTGTTTGCTCTGGGGCTGATAGCTCTGCTCCCTTCCAGCTTGCCTTCCCCTTGGTGAACTGAAGTCCCCAAGGACACGGTATCTCCAGGGTAGATACATTTGTGAACACAGTGAACTGGAGCAGTCTTTACTCTGAGGACTCCAGCCTCACTTCCATTACTCATTGCCTTTCATCTGTGGCTTTTGTCTAAAAAGAGAAACCCCAGAGTGGCAGAATGCCAGAATTAGGCGAATCCCTTCTGTCCTTGGCCCTGATCTACCTCCCAGCGCCGGTGGCCTGTCAGCCTCTTGCCTTGACGGGTGTGGTGTGCATGGGGGACCTCTAGCATGGAGGATGGGAGCATTCGAACCAAACTTAGTTCACAGCTGAAGCTGTTGTCTTCTCATGGGTCCGAATTGCTGCTGTTTTCGCTCCCTTTCCCCTTGGGGTCATTGCTACCTGGGTAGTGGGGAATTTTATTATCACCTGAAGGAAAGGTCCCGAGTCTGTCCTCCAAGCTGGGCAGAGGTGAGTAGATGAAAGATCAAAAGCACATCTGGGCATGTTACACCTAGGATGACTAGAATAGCATAAAACAATGTTTCCCTGGTTTGCAGAAGGTAGTACCATTCAGTCTGGCAGGACTGAAGGATAGGCGTTTTGCACAGGGTCTGATTTGAAGGGAAATCAGGTGTGCCTCTTTCTCCCTTTAAACATTGTAAGAGATTTTTTTTTTTTAATTTAATTTTTTTTTTGCCCTCCTCCCTCCCTCCCACACATCCCCTCCCTCCCCAGAGTTTTATGTCCATTGGTTGTACTTATATGCATGTATACAAGTCCTTCGGTTGACCTATTATCTGTTGTAAGAGATCTTGATTCATGAAAGCTTTTGCTTCATTTTAGAGAACTGATCTTCTAAGGGAGGGGAAAAGGAAAAAGAAAAACACAGAACTGCCCTCCCCCCCAATGGGTGGGGTGTGTCTGAACCCTTGTTGGGTTCTGCTTTTGCTAGTCTTGTTTAACATGCACATGTTCTGATAAGGACACCAAGATGTGTTTTCTCCCTTTTCAGCCTCACGAAAAATTATGCTGTAAATGCTGAAGTGTGGGAGAAACTGCCCTAGCCAGCTTGTTGTCATGGGAACCTTGCACCCCACCCCCATAGTCTGTTATCTTCTACTCCTTTTGGGTAACTGGTGAGCTTGAAGGGGACTGAGATTAAATGAGCTTCCTCCAAATCTGGTTCCATGCTTTTTTTTTTTTTTTTTTTTTTTTTGTCTAGGCATATGTGTGTGTGTGTGATAAATTATACTGTTTCATAGTTCTTGCCTGATAGCCTGGATTGTTCTTGCAATCTTGACTTTTTGAATTTGCGGGGTGAAATGTGTGATGTTCTGGGAGACATCTGTTTTCTTGGAAGAGACAAAACCAGAGAATACTTGGCTTTGTGGTGTTTTGATTAGTGTAGTTAGAGGCACAAATGGTTTCTTGTAAATTCAGCTTATGTAGACGTCTCAGTTTTCTTTCCCTGTAGGGTGGTAGTTATACACATTGCTCCTCCCCCCAGACTGGTCCTTTGAACCTCCCATGTTTGTGTTTGGAAATTTTTGTCTCAAATAACTTGATTTAAAAATTTTATTTACTGATGAGAGAAAGGCACACATCAAGTTGTTGTCCCATTTACTTACACATTCATTGGTGGTTTCTTATATGTGCCATGACTGGGAGTCAAACCCCCAACCTTGGTGTATCAGGATGATCCTGTAACCAGCTAAACTACCTGGCCAGGACCCAAATAATTCGATTTTTAAAGCAATTTATTATTGATTTTAGAGAGGAATGGGGGGAGAGAAACATCCTTGTCAGAGAAACATTGATCATCTGCCTTCTCCACGCCCCCTACTGGGGATGGAGCCTGCAACCAAGGCATGTGCCCTGGCTGGGAATCAAACCACAACCTCCTGGTGCTTGGGAGGATGCTCAGCCAACTGAGCCACACTGGGCAGGCTAACCTGATGCGTCACAGAAATCTCATGGGCTGTACCCCTCCCCATACGGGCTAGCGGCGCAGGCTATTTCGATAGCTGTCCCCACCCCTGACTGTCGGGAGGAAATCAGGGTAATAGAATTCAGGTGCAATCTGGGCTGTGGCTGGGAGATCATGTTTACCAAGCACTTGGATAAGCATCTGGACGGGGTAGTGTGCAGGGCAGGTTGAATTCTTCTATGGTTGTGGCAGTCGGCATACTTGCTAGCACTAAAGGGGTGGGGGAGGGAAAAGCAGTCTTAGGAAGGAGGCTTTTCTACCAGTGAAATTCATTCACATGCAGCTGCCTCTTCCTTGTTTCTCATTCCATTACCAAGGAAGAGGCCTGGGATGTCTTGGACTCTAGCCTGTGCTTGATTACAGGGCAGAGGTTAGGGAGAGGGTTGTTCTAAGCTGTACTGGAAGGGTGAGGCCGTGGGGCTAAGGGGAACAGACGGGAGTCACAATTCAGAAATCTGGAGGAGTAGTGATGGGCAGAGAGGACACATTCTCTTCTGCCCCCAGTTCTTTTTATAATGTCACCAAAGCAGGTAATTTTAACCAGAAGAAGCTCCTTGTCAGCTTTAAAAAGGTGGGGAGTAGGTATCCCAGTATTCTTTCACTTTCTGATTTGGAAGGTTATTCTGGCAACGTAATTCTCTTAAGATAGTCGTTCTTCTGCTGTGTCAAGTAGGGTAATCAGGATTAACAACCTGAGTTAAGTAGCAAATTAACTGGTAATCCTGCTGTGTCAACGTAGGGTAATCAGAGGATTAACAACCTGAGTTAAGTAGCAAATTAACTGGTAATCTACCCTGGCCAGGTAGCTCCGTTGATTAGAGTGTTATCCTGTACATGAAAGGGTTGAGGGTTCAATCCCTCAGTCAGGGCCTGTAGGACGCAACTGATCAATGTTTATCTCTCATCAATGTTTCTCAAAAAAAAAAAAAAAAAAAAAAAAAAGGGAATCAATAAAAACATCTTCCAGTGAGGATTTTAAAAAAATTATTAAATAATTCGAGATTTCCTGTTTGAGACACTCATAAGAATAAGAATACCTCTAAGCCAGGGCTCAGACAGAAGGAACCCTTTACTGGTATGTTTGCTGACACTCAGGCGTTTGAACGGAGTCCAGAAAGGGGGTGGTGCTAATACTGGGCTGCAAAGAACTGAGTTTTAAAACACGCTTCCTGTGGAACACGTAGTAGTGTGTTGACAGAAGAAGGCAGGAAATACATAGCATGTTTGCTTGACCTGAGCTAAGACAGGTTCTACCCTGCTAGTTCTGTCATGGTGGTCAGCCCCAGTCTTGCTGTCATAGTTCTGTTCCTTTTCACCATGCCTCTGCTTCCCTTTTCCATATTTTACTGAAACGCAGGCTGAGGCTGAGGTGGCCTCCTTGAACCGTAGGATCCAGCTGGTTGAAGAGGAGCTGGACCGTGCTCAGGAGCGCCTGGCCACTGCTCTGCAAAAGCTGGAGGAAGCTGAGAAAGCTGCTGATGAGAGCGAGAGGTGTGTAGAGGGGCCTCTTGAAGCATGCATTGCCAAAGAAATTCATAATGGCTCTGGTCAAGATTTCCTCATAGACCTGTTCTTAAAAACAGCTAGCCTCTTATAGGATCCTCATTCCTTCTTTTCTGCACAGTCTCCCTACTGGAAGACAGTTAGGGTTACCTGAACCCTGTACCTGTTACCCTTTAGTAATTGGTTTCTTTATACATTGATCCTTAAATGGAGTCACCAGGATGACTTCCACTTACTGAGTCATGAACTTACTCGATTAGTTCCTCCAAAGTAGTGGTTCTCAAAGAGAGATTCCAGACCACCAGCATCTGGGGAATTGATAGACATTCCAATTCTCAGCTGGTACCTACCACTAAATTATGAATCAGGAACTCTGGAAGTAGAGCTTAGCAGTATGTCTTAAAAAACTCTTGACCCTGGCTGCACTGTTAGAATCAAGGGAGTGAGGGCTGGGGATCATCAGGGAGTTTTAAAATATCAGAATGCCTGGGTCCTACCCCAGTTCAATTAGAATCCATTGCGAGAGTGGACTAGGCATTGATGTTTTTACAGTTCCTTTGATAATTCTCATGAGTTGAGAACCATAGTCATTAAACCAAATCACAACTCATTTTTGTTGAAAATGGCCAATTGGCTCCTTGCCATATGTGAACTGTGTGATGACTTGTATGGGATCAAACAGGCTTTCAGAACTGAAAATGCCCTACTGCGAGTCCAGTGACACAGGGAGGGCGGCTGTGCAAACGAGCAAGACAGCCAGCTGTGTGTATACTACTACCGTATAGTGTCCAAATTATAGAGAGAGAGGAAGGCAAGTTGCAGAACAGTATAGTATATGATTCCCTTAGGGATGAGACTCTGCATTTTATCTGTGGGATACATTTCTGGAAGGATTATGAAGTAAGTGACTACCTCTGATGAGCAGGACTAATAGGAGAGAGACTTTGCTTTATGCTCGTAGACCATACACTTAAATACTTAATTTCTTAAGTGTGTATTATTTTTACAAAGGTTTAAAACAATGAACTAAAGTAGGGTGGGGGCCTATGGGAGTTCTCTTTGAGTGGTAAGCAGAGAGCAATGGTCTTTTATACCTGCACTTCTGGGTCACTTGAGGTGTAGCTGATGACAGATTCCTGAGAGTGTCAGTGCCACATTTGTCCTTACTGTTTCTGACAGAGGTATGAAGGTTATTGAAAACCGAGCTTTAAAAGATGAAGAAAAGATGGAACTCCAGGAAATCCAACTCAAAGAAGCTAAGCACATTGCAGAAGAGGCAGATAGAAAGTATGAAGAGGTAAGGCACTGGTAGTTTGTCCCTCTGTTGGTGACCTTGGGGTTCTCAGAAGAACCCGGAGAGGGAAATGTCTCCTCGTTTGCTTTGCTGAGCTTCCCTCGGTCTTCTCCTCTAGGTGGCTCGTAAGTTGGTGATCATTGAGGGAGACTTGGAACGCACAGAGGAACGAGCTGAGCTGGCAGAGTCGTGAGTGTCTTCCTCCCCAAATCTTTGCCCTCCCTTCTCTCCCTTCCCCTTTGGCTTGGGCAGTGCGAGTAAGCTAGCATTCCCTAACCTTGTTAAACAGGGCCTAGAGGAAGCATTGTCTCTAGTGCTTTTTTAGGCCCTATGAATGGCCTTGGGCTTTCTTATTCTTTCTTATTAGTGACAGGTCACAGATTGAGGCTTTTTAAAAAAATATATTTTATTAATTTTTTACAGAGAGGAAGGGAAAGGGATAGAAAGTTAGAAACATTGATGAGAGAGGAACATCGATCAGCTGCCTCCTACACACATACATCCCCCCCGCTCCCCCGGGGGATGTGCCCACAACCAAGGTACATGCCCTCGACTAGAATCGAACCCTGGACTCTTGAGTCCGCAGGCCAACACTCTATCCATTGAGCCAAACCGGTTTCGGCGAGGCTTTCTAATTGAGGGAAAATAAAGACTAATATATGGGGAACCGTTGACTGGAAGGCCCTACTGGGTTCTTTCACCTGGTCTGCTTCTCCTTGAGGCATTGAAGTGGCTCTACTGCCTTAAGGCTTACCTCTGTTTTAACCACTTTGCCAATTGCCTGGGGAACTTTAGGGCAAGGGCAGGCATGATCAGCTCTCCTGTTGGTACTTCTGGGCCTTGCATAACAAAGTTAGAGCTAGTGCATATATATATTTGTGCTTCCCTTGCATTCCCCTCTCCCCATACATGACATATCATGACCATGGTGGTGTTTCTTCCTATTTCCCCCCCCCCCCATTTTGCTGCTTGTTTTCTTGCTGTGTTCCCTCTTGACTTTTCTCCCTCCCCACAACCTGGCTTGTGCGATCCCCGTGACTATCACTAACAGCCGTTGCCGAGAGATGGATGAGCAGATCAGACTGATGGACCAGAACCTGAAGTGTCTGAGTGCTGCTGAAGAAAAGGTACTAACCATTAAACCTGCGGAGAGGCTATGTGTATGGTGTGGTTCTGTTTTTGTTTTGCAGCTGCCTTCCCTCCACTGGTTGGTTTGTTGAGTGCTTTCTCATCTCTTCATGGAATGCTCCATTCTTTTCCACTTCTTGGCATTTTTCATCTTTTCTTTCCCAGTTGCTTCACTGCCTCCACAGGGTCTCTCCTTCCCTTGGGTGATGTGGGGGACTATTGGGTTGGACATCTGTTCCCACCTCACCCCAGGTAGCAGTTATGAATTGTTCCCAGTAGTGAATTCTCGCAAGCGTTTCTTTATTGGTATCTAAACATTCTGAGTCCTAGCCCATGGGCGTCTTAACTCCTGACATGGTCTCTGGTAGAGGGAGGAGGGTTGTTGCCTGCTCAGATTACCCGGGACCTTCTCTTTTCCCTGTTATGCCTTCCAAATCTCTACAGATAGGATCAATTCATGTCTGTGTGTCTCTCTCCCTTTTTTTCTTCTTTTCTTCTTCCCCTTTCTTCTCCTGCGGTATGTAAAATATTCACAGTAAGTGTTCTGAGCTGGAGGAGGAGCTGAAGAATGTCACCAACAACCTCAAGTCTCTTGAGGCTCAGGCGGAGAAGGTAGGGGCTGGTTTGTGAAAGTGACAGGCTTTGGGGGCCTGGGCCCAGCCCTACCCTTAATTAGAGACTGCAGAAACTCATGCCTTATGTAATCCAGTGAGAAGGATCCTCTTCTTACCTACCTGCCCTCTGTCTGGATTCTAAGTTTAATGGTAATTCTTCTGTACTTCGACAGCGTTAGTTAAAATAACGACATGGTCTCAGGTGCCTGGGGTCATGTTCTCAGGTTGATACGGATGTGCTGAATGACAACAATCAGGGGTCCTAATAGGTTTTCTAGCAGAAAGATGGGAGAGCAACAGGTGGTATCAGATTGAGACCTACTAAGCAATCGAAACAGAAGAGTTGTCTTTATCATCATGTGGCACTGTTTTAGCCATCTGGTCTTGGTTGTCACTATACTTACTCATTAAGTAGGAGGAAGTAAAAGTAAAAGTAATCCCCTGGGTTGATTTGAATAAGATCAAAAGTGAGGTCCCTTTAAAAAATAAGGTTTCAAGACTCTTACTTAGGACATTGATTTGTGGATTTTAAGGACTTACTGTCCAGAAATGGGCCTTGCTCTTTGTTATGGACCAACCATTCAGCACAGTATATCCAAGAAGATATTCAGCATAAGAGTAAATGTGGGGGCTGCAGGGGGAGGGGGGAGATATGTGTGTGTGTGGTCTGTGTGAATAATTTCTACTCTGAAAATTTTATTTTATTTCTCTTCTAGTACTCTCAAAAAGAAGACAAATATGAGGAAGAGATAAAGATTCTCACTGATAAACTCAAGGAGGTGAGCTGAGGGGAGGGCCCAAGCATTTAGAGGTACTTGTATATAAGGCATAGTGTAGACTGACTGGCTTTGGTTCTGAAAGGTGTGGAAGTAGAAGGTGAAGATGATAGAGATTCTTCTCTTATTTGTCTTGTTCTCTGATCCCAACGGTTTTGTATTTCCCCTAGGCAGAGACGCGTGCTGAGTTTGCTGAGAGATCGGTAGCCAAGCTGGAAAAGACAATTGATGACTTGGAAGGTATGGAGCCCGGGAGAGGAATTAAAATACTGGACTATAGAGGAAGACCTTGCCCATTGCAAGGAGGTCAAAGGGAGTTGGTGGTGACTGGGCATGCATCCTGTGCCCTGCCACAATTAGCTGAAGTGGGTCAAACCCTAGAATAGAATTGGCTGTCTACATTTAATCTTCCCCTTTAGACTTTACCTAATATTGGGAATTTGCATCCTTTTGGAGATTGATAATGGCAGCATTTATCACCAATTTTTAATAGTCTTATAGCTTTAGTTTTAGATTCTGGATCAAAATGGTAGCCATACTTTGGGAAGGCAATGAGAACATGTGTCACTCCATGGCTGCTTTTGGCAATCTGTTCATCACTCAAGTTGTGGGAAACTGCAAGAGACGCAGCTGTCTCAGAGCTGACCAGTACCATGGGCTTTCTGAATACTTCTGTCCCCCCACAATTTGGCAACATGTCCACCCTGAAAAGGGTAAATGTACTCTGAGAACTCTGAAATATGCTCCTTTGGTATACTCTGAGTAGCAGGGTATTCTTTGGAGAGTCTGAGCAGGCAACCTGTAGAGCAAAGGGACCAAGAATACTGGTTATCCTTGGCAGCTAGGAAAGTATCTGATATTAATGTACTTTATTTTTTATTTGTGTTAAATTAAGCACTGTCACTGCTAGAAATTGGTTTAACTGGATGGCAGTGGGAACCTCTTGTGCCTTCGGTAATAGGAATTTCTAGTCATGACTGTGCCCACCTCTTAACCTGCAGTCAGTACAGGTGTCAAGAAGTCCAGTTTGTCCTGGGGGGACAGTGGATCTGAAAATGGCCAGTCATGGTGCTCTTAACTGTGGTTTAGACCCACAGTGACACTTTTCCTGATTTCTAATGATTCCCTCTCTTCATCTGCTTTTGATACCTTTCACTCTGTCCCCCTGGTTCCTCCCTGTGGTTCCTGTGCCTGTCCAGATGAGCTCTATGCCCAGAAACTGAAGTACAAGGCCATTAGCGAGGAGCTGGACCACGCCCTCAATGACATGACCTCTATGTAACTATCTGACAGCAGATGGGGCTGGGACCTTGGCTTGTGGGTGAGCGGGGGCATAGACTGCATAGTATGCTTTGGTTTTATCCTCTGGACACGAGAATCTCCACCCTTTTCTCTAAAACGTTGGTGCTGGTTACTTGTTGGCAAAAGCTGGGCAGGCATTTAATCTTGGATCCGTGGTAGAACCCTGATCTACATGTAATTTTTATCCACAGCCCCTTTGTTATAACACTATGGTTTTTCTATTTGTTCCTCAAATTCACTTTTCTCAGCAGGGGTACTGCTGAGGGTAGAATCATGTCCTCGTGTGATTAAGGAAATGGGGCTCAGAGAACCAGTGACTGGGGTTCTAATACATAACAAAACTCAGACCTCCTGGGTGTATTTGGTTTGGGCCCTGATAAAATTCTGGGGATAAAATACTCATAATTGGAAATAATCAAGTTTACCTACCAATTGAATTGGATTCCCAAATTTTAGTCCCAAAGCAAGCCTGCTAGTAAAAAGCACCACAAGAGTTGTTGGGGACTTCACCTGTTTGCTGTGGATCCCTGGTCCTGATGCTAATCTTCCTTTTGGTATCTTTCCCACTAACCTGAAAAGAAGCCAGTGACTCAGGCTATAGTGTCTGGCTCTCTTTTATCCTTCCTACTGCCACCTGTTCCTTTTCTCTGCTCCCTTCCTCCCATCTGGTTGTGTAGACTGGCACTAGTCCTTCTCACCTAGAGTCTCCTTACTTTTTCATGCAGATAAATTGCCACCGTTTCTGCTCTGTTCTGGATCTGCCCCCTTTGCTTGGGGAACCCAACGCCCCACTCTCACTCTGGATTTCGTTTGGATCAGCCTGGCTGGTCCCCAAGGCGTTAGGATGGGCAGGGGCCACAAAAGCAACTTATGTATTCTCCCCACCCCACCCGAAATTAAAATGTTCCGCCTCGGAAGCCTCACGCCACCCTGCGTCTGTGTCACTGACAAAGCTGCTGCTGTCCCTGAGAAAGCCTCGGGTGTGATGGGGGAACTGCTATCACAGGCCCTCCCTCCTCTGACTTGCATAATCAAAGCCACTTTGTGTGTGTCTGTTTTTTCTTGGCATTTCAACTCTCCTGAGCTGAGTCTGTCAGAGTGGTGGGCTAGTTGGGGAGCTCTAGTCTTGCTGTTTAAGCCGAATGAGACCATCCAAGTCCTTTTCTTGCAGTTCTTAAGTCATGCCGCCTGGAATGTTCCATCCTCTCCAGGTTCTCCTCCTTTGCTTAAGGTCAGGAGTCCATTGAAGTGCCTCCCAATACACATTGTCTACCCTTTGCCAGTGGTTCAAACGGTGCATCCTCAAAACATCCGGTGGACCCAACTATGTTACCATTAAAACTGGCCATCCCAAGTCATAGAAAAGCACATGGTGGATAGAACTTTCAACAGTTTAATGTTTTCTTCCTGAAATCTTTCTTGCATATTTGAGGTTTATTACCATTTGCCTCCTCCTATGAGACAAATGACAAGTGATAAGTGATTTTCAGAAAAACTAACACAATCAAGCATGCCTATTACAAATAAACTCGCACAGGGTGGTAATGGTTTCTTCATGCATTCATAGGCATAGATAGAGATGGGAAGAACACAATATCTATAAAGGTAGATTTAGACAGTTGGGACAGATGTGTGCTGAAATCAGGCTGGGCTGGGGTTAATTTTATTTTCTAGGTAATGGGGATGACACTGGAGAGTTCCAACAAGGATGTGTTGTGGTCTGCATAGCATATAAGAAGAGTTATTTTGGCAGCTGAGTTAAGAGTATATTGAAAGAGAAGCAGATTATCAAAGTGATTGATGAAGACAATGATTCCCAAATTTCATACCACTTGGGGATTTACCATATTCACTTGCTGCCTACATTGTTTTATTGGTTTCAAATTTGTTTTATTCTTACTCCACACAATTCTAACTTGAAATCAAATGTTTGATGTGTGCTACTGTTTCCTATTGCACATTAAAGAAATACACATAATAAAAAATGTTGAAATTCACAAATGCATATAGCTTGACATCTCACCTCCACTAGCAGTGACTGTGCTACACTTTGGGAGACACTGGGTTAGTTCATTGCAGTTTTCCCAGGGGTAATAGTCTGGACTGGAGTGATGGTGGGGAAGAGATGGCATGAAGATGGGTATTTTGAAGGGCCTAGCCAATGAATGTGAGAAGGAAAAGCCAAGGACTGGTCCTGAGCGTGAGAAAATGGTGGTGATATAGGTGCAGGGAGAACATGTGGAAAGTAGAGACTATAAGTCTGAAAAACTTAGTTTCCAGGTGAAACTATCGGGGGCTTGATTTGGGAATCCATAGGGTGACAAGCAGTTTAGGCCATGGAAGGATTTAGAACCTTAAAAGACAATTGTAAATGTAAAAAGAATTAAGCAAAGAGAAAAATCTATGGACGAGGAAGCCAAATGGAATAGGTTGGAGGGATAAAGCGGAATGAGTAGCCTTGATACTTTATGAAGTTCAGTGATTCTCAACTTCAGCAGGTTAAGAAGGAAATTAACTGGAGATGGGACGTTGTCATTAATACTGTATTCAAAGGGTACATTTTGAGCCCAAGAGCAAGGAGAGGAGCTATATTTCACAGAGCAAAAAAGTGAATTGGTGGAAAGTATTGTAGACACTAGGTGAGCACTCAAAATATGGCTAATATTACTGAGGGGCTAAATTTCTAATTCTATTACTTTTCATCTAAATTTTACAGTCACGTGGCTAGTGGCCTCTGCATTGGATAGTCCAATCCTAGATGGTTTAGTATTTGGGCAGAAGGAGTTGACGTTGGCACAGAGGGGCTTCTTAGAAAAGGAAGAAGGGAGAATGTGAATGAGGAAAGTGAAGTGATAATCCTGGTAGCTCCTGTCTTTCTCCATGTCCGTGGCTGGCGTGATCAGTGATAGAGACCAGAACCATCCTGTAATACTTAAGCTTGGATCTCCTATTGGAATGGCATCGTTGGTAATCTCAAAGTGCTTGACATCTTAACTTTTTCCTATAATTTCTCAGAAAGAACCACAGGCTGATAATGTGTATTCTTTATTTCCTCGTTACCACTGTTGGAACGAGGAACAAAACATGGCTAATCCCCAAGTTACCTGATGGGGGATCTAACCTGTTTTAGATAGGCAGCCGTATCCCAGTTTCTTTTCCTTTCCTGTAGTTTGTTATAATATTCCCCAACCTCCAAGTTGGGGTGGGTAAAAAATATCAAAAGCAAAATCTGTTCTCCCTCGTTCCTTGAACTTTGAGGTTTTAAAGCTGATGTGCTTCCCCTTACTGGCCCTTTCCTGATACTGAGTGAACTTGACCTAATTCAGACGAGGAAGCCTAAGGATGTCCAGTATTCATGAGATTGTTCTCTAATTAGACATGCTAAAAGGAAATGAGACCAGATGGACTCTCTGGGCTGCCTTTTTGGTTTGTTTTCTTGTGCTGTTATCAGGAACCAATAACTTTAATGAGCTGGTATCTGATCCTGAATTTTTAGTCACTAGAGATAGCAGAGTTAGAAACTTATTAAATAAGTTTCTTGTGAGAGAACAACCATGTTTGTCTTTCTGACCTCATGCAATTCCAAGGGAACTGTGCGTCCTGGGAATTAATCAAGCAATAAAATGCTCCCACTTCTCTCTTTATTTTCCCCCTTACATGGAACAAAACCCTCATTGACCAGTCTGTTGTAAGGGATAAGATTCTGCTTACACCTTCGATCCAAGACAGCAGTAGGAGCCACACTATTTAACTTGGATATGGATGCTACAGGGGAGTCAGGCTGCTCATGGGATCTATGTAAGGGGTGTCCCAGTGAACGTGACAGGTCCAGTCCTAGGCCTCATGGAGTTACAGACCAGTATGGAGGGTTTTTTATTTAGCCCAGGACAATCCTGGGTTGTACAGAACAATTCTACTTATTGCTGTCCCCTGCCCAGCAAATATCTTGTATGGCCTTCTAGTTACTGTGACAATTAAAGCCTGCCTCCACACATTTCCAAATTGTCCTTTGTGGGGAGAGAAAGGGCAATATTACTCATACTGAGAACCACTGGCTTGGAGAACAGTGCACTTTTGAAAATTCATTCTAACTTCTGCCCTTAAAATACAGCTATTGTTGCCCTAACCCATTTGGCTCAGTGGATAGAGCATCGGCCTGTGAACTGAAAGGTCAAGGGCACATGCTTAGGCTTCAGGCTCGATCCCCAGGGTGGGGTGTGCAGGAAGCAGCTGATGAATGAATTTCTTGCATCATTGATGTTTCTCTCTCTCTCTCTCTCTCTCTCTCTCTCTCTCTCTCTGAAATCAATAATAATAATAAAAAAATACAGCTATTGTCCTGGATGGTGTGGCTCTGAGAGGTCACGGGTTTGATTCCCAACAGGGGCACATGCTTGGTTTCTGGCTCAATCCCCAGTAGTTGTACAGTGGGCAGCCAGTGGGTGGTTCTCTCTCATCAATGTTTCTCCCTCTCCTTTCTCTCTAAAAAAATAAATAAAATTTTAAAAAGCTGTTATTTTGGGGTATTCCATCTACCAGGATCTTATACATACTTGCTTGTTTTCTTTTTAATCCTCACCTGAGGATATGTTTTTATTGATTTTAAAAGGAAGGGGGGAAATAATAGCAAAGAAAAAGATAATAGTAAAAGGAACGGGGAGAGCCCAGCTGAGTGTTGACCTATGAACCAGGAGATCAGGGTTTGATTCCCATCAGGGCACATGCCCAGGTTGCAGGCTTGATCCCCCGTGTGGCATGTGCAGGAGGCAGCCAGTCAATGATTCTCTCCCTCTCCTTCTCTGACAAAAAAAAAAAAAAAAAAAGTAAAAAAGGAAGGGGGAGAAGGAGAAAGAGAAACATTGATTGGTTGCCCCTCATATGCACCCTGACTGGGAATTAAACGTGAAACCTTTTGGTGTTCGGGACAATGCTCCAACTCACTGAGCACCCCCAGCCAGGGCTGTGCTTTTTGTTTTGATAGTGTATATAAAGTGGAAAAGTATTATTGGGAGCATAAAAGTATCTTTTTCACATTGACATCTTTTTTGTCTGTTTTTGTTAATCCTCACCTGAGGATTTTTTCGCCATTGCTATCAGAGAGAGTGGAATGGATGGGTGGGGGGTACAGAAAGAAACAGAAGCATTGATGTGAGAGAGACACATCGACTAGTTGCCTCCTGCACTGTCCTGTCCGAGGTGGGTGGGGAGCGAACTTGAAACCCAGGTACTTGCTCTTGACCAGGAATCAAACCCCAGACAGACCCTTTGGTGCTTAGGCAGACACTCTAACCACTGAACTACACTGATCAGGGCTCATGGTGACATCTTTAGATAATTTTGAAACAGACTGTAAAACAGAAAGAAACTTTACATGAACTTCAGAGGCTGATACAAATTTCCATTACCCCTGTGCGGGATTTGGACTCTCCGTACCCCCTCTTTAAGGTGTGCTCCGAGGAGAAAATCCAGACAAAGTCAAGGAACTTAAGCACTTAACTACTTGTTTCGGGAATGTTTGGGTTGTAGGAAACAGCAGCTAAGATAAATATGGGTTTTATTTTTATTGCATAATAGAAGTTTAGGCTTGAGCAACTGTGGTCTAATATAGCTGGACTTAGTGTGATTCTTTTGGTCTTTTAAAGTTGGAATATGTAGCTCTAGCCATCACAACCATATTCAAAGGCAAGAAGGGAAGCTAAAATTTTCCCAGGAACTCCCAGCAGATTAATTTCTATATCTCATTGGTCAGAACTGGATCACATGACTATCTCTAGCTGCAAGTGAATCTGAAAAGAAAAAAAAAAAACTAGAATAGGATAGTCTTGATTGGCTTGTACCAGTAATTCAACTTCCCTGGCCCTAACAGGTTTGGGGGTGGGTTTTTTGTTTGTTTTTAAAAGGGGGGAAGTTGGATTTTGCTTGAATAAACCATTATGATAGTTCTATTGCAGTGCCTACAAGATGCATTAGAAAGTGTAGGATTTAGTGGGTATAGGGATATTTGTCCCAATCTACCATTCATAATGGTACATTAAATGCTTTCACAGAAAAATGTTCAACTGTTCACTTGTCCTTCCAAACCTCATTATTATAAATGTATTTCTTATACTTGAGCTGTATTCCTTTCTCTGCCGATTCACTTGTCTCTGTTTCTCAACCCAGGGAATATATACTATGGATGTGTTTTCCCCCCCTCATCATGTCCTTCCAACTTGTTGGTCTGAGTGTTTTGTTTTATTCCTCTGTTGGTCCTTCCATCACCTGACTCTATTGCCCTCTGTCTGAATCATCCTTGCATCCACTCTGCCTTACAGATGCATGTCATGTGTGCCAGCTAGGTGAAAGTCTCAGGTTTACATCTGGTACTCGACTAACCTTCCCTTTTTCTCTTTTCTCCTCCTCTTCCTCCTCTCCTCCTGTTTTCTCTCCTTCCTGTCGCTGCCGCAGAGTGTCTCTACAGCCAACTTGAGCGAAACCGCCTGCTTTCTAATGAGCTGAAGCTAACGCTGCATGATCTGTGTGACTGATGGCAGGGCTCCCCGATGCCCATTAACCGAGCTTAGTGCTCACACCACTGCCTGGACCCCAGCAAAAAGCTGATTGACTTTTAACATTTACTATGTTACCCTAAGCAAATTGCTTTTTATTTGGAGCGGTTAGAATATTGTTGACTTCTTGTATAGTAGGAATGTTTAATACTGCATTTCTATCCCTTTTCAAGAGGTTGTGAGTGATGGCGGGAGGGGCCTGAGAGGTTATAGTGAGAAAACTTGGGAGAGTTTTCTGCTTTCCACCCTTACTTGCTGTTCTTTCACTTGTGACTGACCCTTGCATGGATGTTTTCTAACAATAAAAGGAATGACTTGACAAGATGGTGAAACTGCTTTATCTGCAGGCCCAGCGATGGGCCCTTCTGACTGGATGCAAAAAAAAAAGGGAGGGGGGGGGAGGGAAAGGACAGGGTGTGTGATATTAATAGGTCTGTGCCATCACCTTCCCCGCGTTAAAGATTTCAGTATTTTCCCACCTTCTTAGAACAGAGAGGTTTGCTTCCTGGGCAGATTAGATTCTCTTTGATGTCCAGCTGCTAGTCTTCTTCCTGACATTTTCCATGTTGCTTTTTCCTGATTTTATGTTTAACTTTAACTAACTGTGTCACAAGCTAGTTCTGAATAAACACTGCAAAAATCTTAAGGTTTTGCTTACATGTTTGTTTGATAGTGTTCTTGGCTTTATTTTCTTTACAGAGTATTTTACTTAACTGTGGGGATTCTTTTATTCATCCCACCAATTATTCCTTTCCTCTCTAGCTCATGAGAATCCCCCTGTATTCTAATTGAGGTCCTAGGGTTTCTATGGTAGAAATATACCCATCCTTACTCTCAGTGGTCCAACCTCGGTGAGCCATTGTTCTCCGGGCAAAGCCTAAAGGAGTCGATGGTGATGTTTAAGGCTGCCTCCTTTTGGGGGACCGGAAGCTGGTCTGGTGTGGGAAGTAGAGGAAATGACTGATAAGGTTCCCAACTCCCCCAGAAGCACAGCAGCGCCTGCAACTTCTGTAGGCAAGCCAGGGGCCCTGCAAAACCAAGTGATGCAGCTCA